TTTTCATTGCCACACTTTACTTTAGTCAACCTTTTTGTACTTGCCTTTATATGCTACATTCAACTTCAATCTGCATTATTTAAATTTTTTTTTTTGGCATGGTGAGTGAGTGACTAAAGTTTAAAACTTTGGGTCTTAAGGTCTTGTCAGTTAAGCAAGAGAAGCACCAAGGGGCAAGATCGCTGGGCATGCTTTGAACATCAATTAAGTCTGGCTCTGCTTTAGAAATTTTTTGACTTGGATTTCATTTAGTAAAATGAGTGGCCAAAGATGGCAGGGATATCTTACTATCATAAAACTGAGGAAATACAGATAGTACATGATAGAGATAAAAGATCACCCAGCATCTAATATTACCAAGGGTGAATCACTGCCTTACCAAGATCTCCTAGGCCCTACATACAGGCAAAAATAGATTTGGGATAACATTATATTTATTGCCTTTTTATAAATCTACAAATAAAATGTATTTCATAATTTGTAGCTCACATTTCCTCTAGAAGTTGGCACAACCTTCCTTTGATCTGAGAAACAGGTTAGGCTGATTGTTCCAAAATGTCAATGTCTTTTATTGTTGAATGTGTACATGAACTTGGTCTTAATCCTACCCAACCATGACACTCTGCTGCCTTCAAGATATTTAGGGCTTCTTAACCTCAAATATATATTTTAGAAATGATTTTTGCCTGTTTTATGCACATTTGAAGATCTTTGAGATTTTAACAGAATATTTGTTAGGAACTATCTCATTCCTTGTACTTTTAAATATTTTCAAAGCCTTGAAAATCAACTATATTAAGGATGCCAAATCGGAAAGATTAAAGGTAGTATACAGAATTAAAAATATAATTTAAAAAAGAAGACCAAATATAGAGCTGCACAGCAGCAGCTTCTATAATCATTAACCAGGTGGGATCACAAATCAAGTGATCACAAAAACCGCTACAAAACCTTATGCCACCAGATAAAGGCCGAATGTATCAATCACCATTGCAAACAGGAGGAAGAGCTGTTAAACTCAAACTCTTCCCAAGCTTCTATAATTTCATTAATGCCAAACTATCCCATCCTTAAAAGGGCCTAACAGGAAAGACTGTAATAATGAAACTGTAAAAGCCAACCTCTTTAATAAGTTCTTCAGTTGAGTCTTTGTCAATAGCTGCTGCCCCCCATTTCCTAGTCTCACCACAACAAATTGTAGTGACTTACTACATATTAACTTTGCAGCAGTTAACATTGAAACAGCACTACGTAACCCAAAGCCATCCCTATCTATTGGTCCTGATGGATTACGTGCCTACTTTTTGAAAAAGCTTGCCACTTCCCTAGCTGAACCTCTAAGCACAATCTATGAGATATTTTTCAGAACCAGCTCCCTGCTTGACTTATGGTCATTAGCCATGGTCATACCTATTTTTAAAAAGGGAGAGCCTAGTCTAGTAGAAAATTACAGACCAATTTCACTGTGTTGCATCACCTGCAAAGTCATGGGATCAATTATAAACCAATCCATCACCCTACATTTAGAAACAACCAACCTAAATTCTAATAAGCAGTTTGGTTTCAGGAAAAATTTGTCCTTAATCTGCAACTCCTACACTGCAGAAACATTTGGACTACACATCTAGACAAGGGTAAAGCAATAGACGAAATTTACATAGACTTCTGCAGAGCCTTTGATTCAGTGGTGCATGACAAACTACTGTTGAAACTTAGTTCTTACGTCGTCTCCGGACTCTTGCACAAGTGGATAGCCACATTCCTGTCAAATAGGCAACAAATGGTCAAAATAGGGAATGCCCTATCAAATCCAGCACCAGTTAATAGCTGTGTCCCTCACAGCAGTGTCTTTCTGCTTTACATCAATGACCTATGTGACAACATTAAAAGCAGCTGCATCCTCTTTGCCAATGATGTAAAATTATTTAACACCACTGACAATGCTGCTGCCCTACAAAGCGACCTTGACTATGTGTCAGAATGGTCGCGCAATTGGCAACTTCAAATTTCAACTAACAAATGCTCTGCCCTACACATTGGCAAAAAAAACCAGAACACCAAATACAAGTTAGGAAGAAATGATCTCGTAAATGATCCTCACTCTGTCAAGGACCTAGAAGTCCTTATCTCAAATGATCTAAGCCCCAGAGCTAACTGTAACAGCATTGCCAAAAAGGCTTTAAGACTTAGAAATGTGAAGAGGACAACTTCAATGTAAAAGCCTTGCACAATTAATATAGAAGTCCAGGTTACTGTGACATCTTGGCTTCATTTTTTTTAGCCCAATATAATTTTGTAGCTCCAATCACATTAGCAAGTTAAGATGCAATAGTAGGTTGAACAAAGAGTTACCAGCTATACTGTCTTCTGCAGTAATTATTTACAGAGTACAAACAAGCAAAAATGAGCAAACAGTTCCCTCCAACACCAATCTTTTATTTCCTTTTTATTTTAAAAAAATTATATGCCAGTCCAGCTTAACCAAAAACTGGGTGGCTAGTATATTCTTGTTAAAGTACTATATTCTTGTTAAAGTACTTATTCTTAAGCAGCCTTTAATGTGTGTTTAAAGCTGTCAAACTATTTATTAAGGTCATGACCTTCAATTTTAGGCTTCTGAAATGATTAGGCACAGTACTTTTATTCTTATCTATTATATAGATTGTACAAATGAGAACAGGAACAACAGTAGCACTAAGTATTCTTGCATCTATCACTGTTTAAAATGCTGGGTAAACAAAATAATTCATCCTTTCTTGCCCAATTCCTTCTGTTAAAGATGTATATACTTATACTTACAAATTTTAAAGTGCTTCTGAATTTTCTTTTTGTGATTGCTTCCATTTTTTAAATAGCTTAATAAAAAACCATAATATTTTAGTTTACTAGCATATGAGACTAGAAAGAAACTTCTTGTCCTTATGTTTTATAAAAACTTAAAAAACCTAACTTTACATTGTTTTTCTTCAATAAATCCATTTTTCAAACAAAAATTTATCAAAGCAGATCTTATAAAGGAAGGCATTAAAAGGATAACAATTAAACAGGTCCAGTTTGCTCTTCCTAGATATCCTCTTTATGCCAGTAGAAAGAATATTGGAGAAAGAAAGCAGCTGACCAGTGAAGATGGATACTATTACTAAGAAAAAAAAGTCTTCTACATTTCCGATAGGCATATTGTCTTTATGAATTCTAGGTTTTTATTTGTTGTGCAAGTCTAAAACCCTCCCGCTACCTTCCAGGTATCTGTACCGTTCAGGGTTTGGGCAATAAAAATAAATGTTTCAAGGGTACCTTTTGCACCATGCTGGTATGTTATGATTTGCTGGGATATTGAGAGAAATTCATTGTGGCTCATAAGCCCTACCAAGCCCCACAAAGCGGTTTTATTATCAAAATGGTAAATATGGGTAGTCCTTGACAAATGACCACAATTGAGCCTAAAATTATTGTTAAGGAAGACATTTTTAAGTAAGTTTTGCCCTATTTGATTACCTTTCTTGCCACAGTTGTTAAGTGAATCATTGCAGTTGTTAAATTAGCAACATGGTTGTTAAGTGAATCTGGCTTCCCTATTGACCTTGTCAGGAGGCAAACGCTGATCATATGACTCCAGAACACTGCAACAGTCATAAATATCAGCTAGTTGCCAAGCTTCTGAATTTTGATCAAGTGACCATGGGAATACTGCAACCAGTGATAAGTCACTTTTTTCAGACAGTGCTATTGTAACTTTGAATAGTTACTAAACAAACTTTTGTAAGTCAAGGATTACCTATACTTTCAAAGCAAAGTGCAAGATTTCTAATACAATTTAGGGTAAATGTCCCAAGGCTTTTCAGAAGGTGCTTTCCATAAGTGGGTGAAACTTCCAACCTACGCTGAAGTTATTTTCTCCTTTTGGAGGTGGGAAATGCATTAAATACAAAGAAAAGCTCTCTTAAAGAAATAGCCCGTTCAGTCCACCTTTCTATTCCGAAAAATACTTCAGGGAAGGGGTCAATACTGGGATATAAATTCAGCAGCCTTCTTTCTTCTCAGTATTTATTTATTTATTTTATTTATTTGATTTGCCAATTGTTTACAAGATAATAAGTATAAGTGTATACATAGTTGTGAATACATGAAATGGGTACATATAAGAAAAATAAAAGAACAAGAGAAACAATAGGACAGGGACGGTAGGCACGTTGGTGCGCTTATGCACGCCCCCTACAGACCTCTTAGGAAAGGGTCAATAGTAGACAGTCTAAGGTTAAAGTTTTTGGGGTTTGGGGAAGAAACTACAGAGTCGGGTAGAGTATTCCAGACATTGACCACTCTATTGCTGAAGTCGTATTTCCTGCAATCAATGTGTATAAGTATGAGATACACTTTCGTCGAACTGGCAGGCTCTTACATATAAGCACTTACTGCTAACAGCTGTTAATTATTTTAATTGCCCGAGATTCCCCACTCCTATTTTTTACGTACTCTCTCACACAATTCAGCCAGTCTAATAAAAGACGCGCAATTTCCCAAACCTCTATATTTGCAGTTGCCTGTGCCGAGTCTTTTTAAAATCAGAACTGGGTTTTGGGGGTTCCTGTCTGGTTTCTAGGTTTTTATTTTAAAATTCAATGAAATCTAGTTTTTTGATACATTGTATTAATATATCAAATTATATGTATTAAATGGGTAAAGCGAGTTAGTTTAAAACTGATTTGTGTCTTTTGTAATCTGGGGTTTTTGAGTAGAATCTGGGTTCATTTGAGCGCGAAATCTTGCTAGGGAGTCCACTGGGCAACTCTGCCAATAGGTAAAAATAATTTAACTGGAAACTGACTTTTTGTGCTTTTTTTGTTATCAGGGATTTTGTGTAGAATCTGGGTTTATTTGAACGCGATATATATTTTTTTTAAAGGAAACTCCACTAGCAACCACAACACATAGGCTGCGAGAAGCGCAGGAAGAGGAAAGAGGAAAGTTCCTCCTCCTCCTGTTTTACCCCAAGCTCTGACGACAGAGCCGTGCGCAGCGCAGCGACGGGGAGTAGCCACGTTGACAAGTGAAGCTGCACGGAGGAGGAGTGTCTTGCCTTGGAGTGAGCAAACCTACCAGCTGCCGTCTGTTTTCCGTGCTGGACTCGCGACTGCCCTGTTGGCGGCTGCGGCTCCAGAGCTAACAATGTCTTCGCCGCCCAAAGTCAAAACAGAAACCCGCGCTGGACATCCTCCCGCCGGTACAGCTGCTTACTCCCGCAGTCCTTTCTGTTCTCCTTCCGCACTTCTGCTTTGCGCTGCTGCCTCCTGTGGGAACTTTATGGCGGGAGGGCGCGCTGGGGAAGAAGGGAAGCTAATACCTCCGTGCCTCTGCGGCCGCTTTCAAACTGAGCTTGGGTCTTGGGAGCTTTGCAGGCTGGATATGACCCCTTCTCCCACGTTAACTGTTTCAGGAGGAAGGCGGCGGATTTTGGAGGGGAATTGGTCTCGTTCTTGGAACGGGAAGCTAGTTTACTTTGGAGTAAACTGGACTGCGCGATCCTATGTCAGCGTTTATTCCTAAGAAAGGGATTCACTCGACGGGCTGCAGAACAATATTAACGGCTCCGTTTTTAAACGTTCGCTGGTAACTGCCAGCCGCTTTCGTTCGAAATAACGGAAGGCGTGGGGGGTGGGGGGGGTGATGGTGATGTTTCTGTTAGGCGCGTGGAACGTGTTGCAAGTCTCGGGCTGCCCACCCCGCTTCTCTTCGAGTTGATGTGTTAACATAAGACACGTGTTGCGAATCGAGGCAGACCCTGTCCGAGCCACGAAACAGATCATGTATTGGGGCTCTTTATGGAAGGTCAATAGTTCAGCCCGTCATGTCCTCTTGCACGGTTTCCTCGTGCAGAAATTATGATAACGCTACGACATAATTGAGAATTCTTGAAATGAATGCTGATTTTGTGTGTGATTAGTAACTATAAGGACTGTTGTGTATTAAAAATAGCACAATTCAAATTATTGCTCCATCCTTTTAATCATGACAATACAGCTAGAGGTGAGTTGCATTTCCTTGGAAACGTAGGCTTGGCTGCTTTTTTTTTTTTTTTTTAAACTTTTGGTTCAAACTTGTCTTCATTCCAGTGGGTTCAGCTTGCTAATTCTAGCTGCTAAATTTAAACGTATCTGGAGGAATCACTAGAAAAACAGCCTCAAACTTACCATATGTTTTTTTTTCTTTGAATTTCTCATTGCTTTAGATCCTAATAATGATGAAAAAGTTATTAAACAAGCTTAGATCTAAAAACAAAGGATCAAATTATGCTCCCATATCTGTCTCAGGGTTCCTAACATTAACTTTTACCAATACCTCAACCTTTCTACTGTTCCAGTGTTGAAAATTTGGGCTTTTTACTTTGACCTAGTTTACTCTTTTTCCATTGTGTTAAGTATGCTAACACATTTTGTTCTTCATATGTGCTCATGTTCTTACATTGTCCTGTCTTTTTATTATCAAACTTTAATCTGTGTACTTCTATCAACATAGATAGGTTTTGCATTGTGGTGTGCACTACATAAGATTTGGACATAAGACAAATGCAGTCTGGTACAGTAGTTTATTGCATGTTTTGGATTTTAGTTTTAGAGATAGACCCTACGCATTGTGGATTTATTATTGGAGGTCCTTGTGCTTATTTTAATTTAAGAGTAACAACTTTTCTTGTCTTTGTGTTTTGTGCTATATTATAAAATATCATAATATTTTGTACTGTGAATAGGTGCTAGAATTCAATGTTAGAATTTGGGGGAAGAATATAAAAAAGAAGCAAGACCCTTTTACTGCTTTAGTTCCCTGACACTTCGGAATAGGCTGAAGTTATACTCACATAAGAGTATTAGAATCTATTTCATATTGACTACTTTCAAAAACTTTGTTAATCCATGGTTCTTTAAATTTCAGAGGAGCTGGATTTAAACAACAGGCAGTCTTGAAACATAAAACAATGGGTGATTTAGAAATATAAACTAGAAATAAAAGGATCCTTTCAATTGCCCTTTCCCTTCTATAAACAAATCTCAAACATTATAGTTAGGGGCTGGGCTGTTTCATTTAATCTAGAGCAGGGGTGTCAAACGTCACAGCAGCATCATATGACATATTGGGACTTCTTTCCCTTTCGCTAAACCGAACATGGGTATCGCCAGCGCATGACACATCCAGCCCATGGGCCGGGAGTTTGACAGCTCTGATCTATAGGTAGAAGAACAAGACTAGATTTCTCCACTGAAACAATATTTAATAACCCTTGAGTTGAAGTCATTAGCATACAGATCAGTGTTGTGATTCAAAAAATTTGACTACTGGTTCTGGGGCGTGGCAGAGGAAGGATACTGTAAAATCTCCATTCCCACCCCACTCCAGGGTAAGGTTACTGCAACATCCCATTCCCTCCCCACCTCACTAACCTCCTTTCCAGCTCTGTTCTCCTGTGCAGGGCAACAAAAGAAGACCCAGCCAATTAGCTGGGACTCGGGAGGCAAAGAATAGATGTGGGGGGGGGCAGTCAGAGGTAGTATTTGCTGGTTCTCAGAACTAAAAATTTCTGCTACCAGTTCTCCAGAACTGGTCAGAGCCTGCTGAATACCATCTCTGATACAGATAATAAGTCCTCAGCTTCATTTGATGGTTCAAAGTTACAGTGGCTTTGGGAAAAGTGACTTATGACATGTCCTTGAAGTTACAATTGTCATACCATCCATAGGGTCACATGATTACAATTTGGACACTTACAAACTGAATTGTATTTATGAAGGTTGCAGCTTCTTGCAATTATGCCTTGGTAATTTGTGATCTTCTGAGATGGTTTCTGACAAGCAAAGTCAATTGGGAAAATTAGATTTGCTTCATGATCACATGATTCATTTTAACAGCTGCATTAAGGCAGTCATAAAATTCGGTCTGGTCACATGACCACTCACTTTATGACCACACCAACTTAATGCAGAAATTTATTGCCCAATTTTATGATAAGGTGAGGACTACATGAATCTGTTTGCAATGGAAACAATTACCTACATCTTTTTGTGTGCTGTGGGAGTATAGTATAAAAGGGGGAGGATTCAATCTCTTGTTCTGCAATGGTAATGGAGTCCAGGATCCTGGTGGTCATACATATTTGTTGTACTAAAGGTGAGAGTGCTGAAAGCTGTAATTTGTCAACATGTTGAGAATATAGGTGGCCCAACTCAGCTGTGAATGAATAATTAGAAATCCCTCCAAATTGAGACGGAGAAGAAAAGTTTATAAATGCCTGTCTTTCCAGAAACAGTTTGTACAATAGGTTTAAGTCATTTGCAATAGATTTAAGAAGGATTTTGAAGAATTTTGCGATAATATCAGGTGTCTTTCTATCAGTTTGAATCTCTAAATTGATTCTGTTAGACAATCGAAATCACATTGATGCAATGAATAATGAATTAAGATGGAATGTTAGCTCTCTTACATGCAACAAGTGGTTTGCAAAAGCATATTAGTCCTTTTGGCACAAATCCGTTACTAGAAGCTTAATTGAATGCTTCACTTTACAGCTTTTGTACATTTTTGAACACAGAAATGGAGGATGATTCATTATTATCATTTAATACATGGACAATTGAAAGTTGAATGATCAACATTGTCAAAATCTTCCCCTGCTTTTTGACTCTACAGTTCTCAGTCCTGTTATCTAAATTTATACATACTGAGGCAGGATATGCATGTTTCTGAATTTATCAGCAAAATAATCTTATCTTCTTGGCCAGGAGTTTCTCAGAAGATAGTGATTGTGTAAGAAAATTCCTATAATTTTTTTCAGGAATAGCATTGCTATTCAGGGATCAGTACTGAGGGATATTTCCAATGCCTTCTGACAAAAAAAAATGTGCAATTTTATTTCAGGATGTGTGGATGTAGACAGGGTTATTTTTCATTTCAAACTATTCTAGTCATTCACTAAATTTATGGAATTAAAAAAGTTACATGTTTTTCATGTAAAATCCAGGCAATGTCAGAGCCAGCAAAATACAATTGATTCTTTTTTCTTTCTTTTTTTTTTTTTGGGGGGGGGAGTTCCAGGAAAAAGTATTTCTTTGCAAATAGCTTTAAGAATCTGATTTTCCCTAATTGGCTTGCCAGGACACTTACTTGCTAAACCCATTTTAGCAATTTGACTCAGTAGGAGTGAGGTTGAAAAGAGCTGAAAGGTTTAAATTCAGGGTTTGGAAACCAAGAAGAAATGTAGTGAAATAATACTGTAGTGGTATAAAGAAATCTTTTGTGCAGAAGGCATGATATTAGCCTCTGCATGGTGTGAAGTTAAGTAGGTACATCCTGAAAGAGGTTCACTAAACTCCTTTGCCATTGGAACATAATTTTTAAAATGAAAAGTACCTATAAAATGATGCCTTTATTGATTTATGGTTTGTTTTGTTTCATTTCCAAAGACCCCCATCAACCACAATTCCTTGGGTAGAACCTTTCTAACATATGTTCCCTCAGAAAGTATTATAAAATAATTTAGCATAATTTGTTATACCATTTTTACATAGTTCTACAGCAATAAACATTTTTGTCATTACCACACCTGATGCATTTATATCCAAAGGAAAATACACTAGTGTACACACACACGCACACTTTTATGTAATCATCTACAATAGTAAGTTTCCCATATCCCAGATAATGTGAAATTTAAAATATAAATATATTTCTTTATAGTATATGGACCAGAAGTCTGAATGGGAATATAAATTCATATCTCAAATATATAATATTTTATCCATTGATTAATACAATGGTTATGAAAGTAGATAATCTCAGATAGGATTATTTTGTTAAGTCTACCCAGCTATCATTTTAATTGGGATGCTGTAATTGAATTAAAGGTCTTCCACAAAGACTTCTGTTAAAAATTTGTAAAGATTTAGTCATACAGTAGACATTGAACCAGCTGAATGAAATTAATCACAACAGTAATGATTGTTTTCTGCATGTCTTCTTGGAATCAGTTATCAAATGACATAATTTTAATTTATACAACTGTTAACCATAATATGTTCATTATATCTTTACTTAGTTTACCTGATGGATTCTTTACCTCAACTTATTTTTCTTGTTAGTCAAAGCTGGTGGAATGAGAATTGTGCAGAAGCATCCACATACTCCAGATACCAAAGAAGACAAAGATAAAGATGAACAGGAATGGGAAAGTGGCACCAGGTGAAGTATTATAAATAAGACACATGAATTATAATCTGCATTATCCTGTTACAACTTTCATGTGAAACCAGAGTTGTAGAGAATAGAAAATATTACACTTACATTTTTTTTTCTATCTCTTAGTCCAAGGCTTATCTATCACCCTATTTCAACAAACATAGTTATTAGTAAAATGTGCTGAACTGGAAGTAAGAATAGGTAATTGGGCATAGTCTGGGATAAAAGATGTAAGATGTCTAGAAATGTTGCTGTGGTAGTATCTGAGTTTCTGTATTTCAGTGATGGCGAACCTTTTAGGGACCAAGTACCCAAACTGCAACCCAAAACCCACTTATTTATCACAAAGTGCCAACACAACAATTTAACCTAAATAATGAGGTTTTGTGAGGAATTTCAATCACTCTTTCACAACTTGACTTCTCCCTGGTAGCACTGGATTTCTTAACAGCACAACTCAGGAATGATGGGAGTGTAGTGCAGTAGCCTCTGGAGGGCCATCATATCCTTATTCCTTTCCTTCCTTTTCTTTCTTTCCTTCCTTCCTTCCTTCCCTCCTTCTCTGATTTCACCTTCCTTCCTTTAATCCTGTATATTATAGTTCATTATTGTTAGTATTTATTAAAGAATGCTGTGTAGCTTAGAAGCTCTCAGCAAAAATAACAGCAGCTATTGTTTGTGGCTGAAGCTATCCCAGGCTGTTATTTATACACACACACACCTATTTTTATTCCACTTTCCCTGGGTCCTTGGGAAAGGAACAGCATCTTTCCCCCATCCCCATCTTTAATAAACCCTAGCCCTAACCCTCCTCACAGCCTTTTAGCTACTATTGTCCCACCTTCCCCCTCCCCTTAAAACAAGGCTAGGGAAGAAAACCGGGAGGGGGGAAGGTAATAAGAGACCCAGGCAGATCTCTCTCTGAATAGCCTTCAGCTCAGGTTTTGACTGATTTCCTCTCCGATCCTCCGATGAATAGACCCCACCCCTGTTTTTGGATTCTGGACCATCGGGCCTTTATTTTCCCCATTTATTGGAGGAAATTGGATTTTTATTGGGTCTTTCCCCCCCCCCCCCCGCCCTACGCCAAAAGGAAAGTCAGCTCTCCTAGAAGCCCCCTTACCCTTTCTCCTGCTCCCTACCCCACCCCCCCAATCCCACTTTGGGACAGAGGAGCACGTGCTGGAAATCTTGTTGGGGCGACATCGGAGTGCACCTTCCAATCCTCTGGCGCTTGACTCGCAACTCCATGCTCCTTGAGGCCCGGCTTGCTAAGGAGGGGGAGGAGCCCTGATGCCTCCACTGCTCCCCCCCATAGCCCCAGCCATCGCTGCCGGCTTCCTCAAAGGTGTGGCACATTTCAAAGGCAACACCTCGTGCCTGGAGGTGCCAAACAGTCCCACTGTGAGAGCCAAGCCAGGCCTCTCCACCGTCCAACTCACCAATGGGGGCGCTTCTGGACCAGCCGCCCCCCGCCCACCCACTGGGCTTTTGTTCTCAGCGCTCGGAGGAGGGGAGTGTTTCTCCATGCTGCCCCCTTTCTCTTGGCTCCGCCGACAAAGGAGGAGAAAGGCCAGGCTTGGGGGATGGCCCCCACCCTGCAAGATCCACTCCTCCCATTCTCTACCAGCCATCTGCTGGCAGCAACAACAAATTTCATGACTAAAGTGGAATCCTGTTGCCGTGCAAAGCATGTACAGGGATGCTTCACTCTCACACTAAGGCTCCGGCCATCGCCACTGCTGCGACAGGGCGACAGCTCTTTCATCCCTCTGCCGCAATAGGGCCACGGAGCCAAAGCAGAGGGGTGAAAGAGCTGCATGGGTTGTATTATGGCTTTATGTCGTAATGGGCTTCAGGAGGAGTGCGGGACCCCGCCTCCCCCATTGGGAAGCGTGTGAGTGAAAAAGTTTACTCAATCAATTCCAACTTCGCGTGATCTTTTTCTTTGGCAAGAAGTTGGAATTGATTGAGTGAAATGCGATGGAGAAATGTGATTGGAGCTGGGCTGGGGCGAAGGCATGTGTGCCCACAGAGAGGGCTCTGCATGCCACATCTGGCATGCCTGCCATAGGTTTGCCATCACAGCTCTATTTTTTTAATGTGGTGGCACAGTCGTTAGAATGCAGTATTGCAGGCTAATTCAACTCACTGCCAGGAATTTGATCCTCACTGGCTCAAAGTTGACTCAGCCTTCCATCCTTTTGAAGTTGGTAAAATGAAGACCTAGATTATTGGGGGCAATATGCTGACTTTGTAAACTACTTAAGAGAGTACTGTAAAACATTGTGAAGCAGTATATAAGTCTAAGTGCTATTACTATTTGGCCCCATAATTTACCTGTCCAAGTAAATTGAGATTATGGAAGAATTATGATGTGAGCAGTGATAGCATAATCAAAATATTTCATTTGCATACCTGCAGTCAAATCAGATGACTGCAAAAGTTGAGGTGAGTTTGAAATGGTACAACCCTCTGAAAGATTTACTGATGGTAAATTGTGTCCATCATTAGAAAGAAAAGCATGAATATAGGTAAAGCATCAGGCGATACAACAAAAAACTTAAAGCAATGTAAATACTCACAATACTCAATGCACTCACTCTATTGAGAGAGAGATACTCAATGCACTCACTCTAGAGCACAGAGTTAGTGAAAGACTTTATAAATTAGGTTTGTAAATGGCTGGAGAACTTGCAGCTTTCTAGAACTTACGAATCTACTCTTCAACAACTGCACACAGGGTGGCCAACAGTTAAAGATACTGGGATTGTATTTCTTCAACATTTGGAATGCCATAGATTTCTTGAAACTTGCTTTGTCGGAAAATACATAGAAAGTGAAGAAATAAAATCTACAATAGTGTATAATCTATTTTGTCTAAGAGGTTGAATATGATCATTTACCTAAAGAAACTCATTGCAAATTGTTTGGTAGAAAATTTGACTAGATTCATTTGTTTTCTTACATTTCACTGTCTTGCAGCCATATTAATGAAATTATGTCTACTATAATAAGGTAGGAAAAATATGTACAAACAAAATATGACTTCCAACATGCCTTCATTCTGTCAGTAAGTGTTTAGTTGCTAAAAGTTTTACAGAGTAAAGCTGTATGAATGGGGCAACTTAGAAGCTGGTATAGAAAAAAAGAAAATAGTTTAGGAGGAGCAGTTTCATTAAGGAGGCAGAAGCTTGTAAGTTATTTTTTTCCTGATAGTAGTTACATTATCTTTGAAAAATGTCAAAAACTTGGGCATAGCATACTTTTCTTGAAACCTACTTGGGTGAAAGAAAATTCCAACTGATTGCAGTTCTTCAATGAGATTTCTAACATTGTGCAGAGTCATACATAAGCATGGCTGATAAACATTAGATTGGATACAGACCATCCAAGCTGTAACTTGCAGGCTTTATATTGTATTGCAGCTGTATTACTTTTCTTGAAGTCTTAAAGAGTCATTTAATAATATACCAAAAAAAATGTGATTATTTTCCATTTATTCTTAAATCTTTCTGAGGAAAGTCAAAGACCATAATCTGCTGGTAAAGTACTTGGATACTGGCTTAAGGCTGTTTTTTCGTTACTATATTTCAGTTTTCAGTTTCTGCTGATAGCCAAGTCTTTTATGATGCAACCTTCATATTTCTTGCAGTTAGTCATATTGGCAAATAGGCTCAGGTTTATCAGTTGACATTTACTAGCAGATAACAAGGGGAAAAATCAATATCAAAAATGCTCATTTAATTGTGCACTCAAAATATGAGGTATATATTTTCCTTTGTAATTCTAACAAAGTTAAAATTGTTGTGCTAGATTAAGCCAAACTTCATTTTGGTCCATTGTTCTCTGATAACGGTCAATTCAAGTATTATGAGGAAACTCATGAACAGTACAAAAATGCCTACAAATAACTCCCCGACCATTTGTTTTGCAATCGTTTGAAATTATAGCAGAGCTGAAAAAATGGATTTATCGTCCATCCCTGAAGTTATGGCTTGGAAGCCTGGCCATACTTATGACCACAGGAGTGCTTCAACTCCCATTACCCACATGTCTCTCCCCAATTTATGCCTTTTTGGCTGCCCTGCACATGAGCAGCCATAGCACCAGAGCTCATACTGAAGTAGAGGCCCTTCAGCAATCTGTTAATCAGTCACCCTCAATCTCTTTTAAGTGAATTACTGCAATTCTTAAAACAGTTGTAAAGTTATCTGACTTTCCCGTTGACTTTGCTTGTCAGAAAGTTGCAAAAGGTGAACGCTGCAACCATCATTATGAGCCAGTTGCCAATTAAGTACAAAAAGAGGTTGCATCGCTGAATATTATTTTTGCTTCTGAATGATTGAGCAAGAAATAATTTTAGGTGATTTAGCTCCAAAGTCAAATTTGTCTTTCTCAAATATTTCACTCACATTCTCATTCTCTTTCTCTCCTACATAAATGCTTACTTGAATAAAAAAAGTTTTTTTGCTTCAATGCTTTTGATTTCATTTGATGATTTTGAAAAAAACCTCTGCTTTCACAGGCTTCCAGAATAATCTGTGTTTTAAAACATTTTAGTATATTGTTGACATTCAGTAGTATTGGTCATGTTCTAAAAACCTAACATATTAGCATTTAATTACATTTTAAGAAAACAAGCAAGCTTGACTGCCTCAGTTTTTGCTTCAAGAATGGTCAAGGCTGTATTTGGTCCATATCTGGTTGATTGATAGTTGGGTGTTTTTTGTTTTTTGTTTTGCAGTTGATAGCACTCTTAGAAACCATGTCTGTTTGGACATAGAGTAATGAAAAAAAAATAGTTTTAGTTTACTTTATTGTCATTGCACCTCGTACAATGAAATCAAACACCATATTCAGTGCACATCATGACATGAAAATAAACACAAACACACATCCTTCACACTCCACACATTGAATTGAAAACCCCCAACACTGCAGTATACAGTAGAATTCAACAGAGTTACTGCCCTGAGATAGAAGCTGTTTTTCAGCCTATT